AAACTTGTTACGTCCCCAAATTGCTGCGTCCCTAAATTGCTATGTCCCCCAATTCCTACATCCCCAAATCGCTACGTTCCTAATTTGCTATATCCCCAAATTTCTACGTCCCCAATTTGCTATATCCCAAACTTGTTACGTCCCCAAATTGCTGCGTCCCTAAATTGCTATGTCCCCCAATTCCTACATCCCCAAATCGCTACGTTCCTAATTTGCTATATCCCCAAATTTCTACGTCCCCAATTTGCTATATCCCAAACTTGTTACGTCCCCAAATTGCTGCGTCCCTAAATTGCTATATCCCCCAATTCCTACATCCCCAAATCGCTACGTTCCCCAATTCCTGCATTCACAGATTGTTACATCCCCAAATCGCTACGTTCCTGATTTGCTACATCCCCAAATTTCTACGTCCCCAATTTGCTATATCCCAAACTTGTTACGTCCCCAAATTGCTGCGTCCCTAAATTGCTATATCCTCTAATTCCTACATCCCCAAATCGCTACGTTGCTAATTTGCTTCATCCCCAAATTTCTACGTCCCCAATTTGCTATATCCTAAACTTGTTACGTCCCCAAATTGCTGCGTCCCTAAATTGCTATATCCCCCAATTCCTACATCCCCAAATCGCTACGTTCCTAATTTGCTACATCTCCAAATCTCTACATACCAAAATCGCTATATCCCCAAATTCCTACGTCCCCAAATTTCCATGTCCCAAAATACCTATGGCTCCACCCGCTCACAATATAAAAATGTCCGCCTCGTCACTCGCCTTTACAATTATATGTATAAAATTCCTCCACATTTCCATGACTTTCACCATATCATTAATGTCGTCAACTTCTATCTATCAAAACGTAGTAATGTCCGACCCAGATCTTCGATCTGTCCGTTTCTGTCAACCTCCAGTCGATAATGCAGCTGCATCGTCGTTTATTGCATCATTATTATCGTTGTTATTATTAGCGCGCAAATCTCGTTCATTAACATCACTGCACAATTAATCCGTAATTGCTGATAAGCGTCGTTCAATTTATCGGCAAATTCGATGAGTTATGCGTCGTTGGATACTTGAAATTTTTAGCAGTTATTTTATGAGGTTCCAGTGAAAGTAGATAAGGAAAATTTTAACACGGAGGACACGGTTATGTCGGTGAGATTAAATTGCATCAGCTATTATTACGTTATCTGCGATGGAATACTTTGAGCTTTTAGTAGTCGGGTTATAAAACGACGCGTAAGTAGATAAGTGGAAAATTTCAACGTGCAAGGAAGTATTTTCATAGGTGCAATTAAATTAGAACAGTGACTCTCAAATGGTGTACTGATATATTCTGCAGATGTCTTTAGACATGTTGAGGAGTATCTTTGAGGGATTTTTAGAATTTTACATTTTTGGTTTTGAGATTTTGGGGTTTTGAGGATTGATTGTTTTGGGAATTTTGGTAATTTGGGATTTTGAATATTCGGAACTTTGAGATTTTGGTGTAATGGAAATTAGGAGCTTTGGAATTTTGGAATTTTGGAATTTTGGGACTTTGGGATTTTGGAATTTGGCACGTTAAGATTAATGTTGGTAATTTGGGATTTGGGATTTGGGAAATTTGGGATTTTGAGATCTTATCATCATGCAAGTGTGGCACTTTGGAGTTCTGGATGTTAGAAATTTTGGAATTTTGGAAGGTTACCTTGAGATGAATTTTCAGAACTTTTTAACTTTGAGAAGTTGGGATTTTGGAAATTCGGAACTTTGAGATTTTGGTGTAATGGAAATTGGGGGCTTTGGGATTTTGTCATTTTGGGAGTTTGGGATTTTGGAATTTGGCACGTTGAGATTAATATTGGTAATTTGGGATTTGGGAAATTTGGGACTTTGAGATCTTATCATCATGCAAGTTTGGCACTTTGGAGTTTTGGCTCTTTGAAATTTTGGGGCTTTGAAAAGTTACCTTGAGATGAATTTTCAGAACTTTTTAACTTTGAGAAGTTGGGATTTTGAAAATTTAGAACTTCGAGATTTTGGCATAATGCAAGTTTGGGACTTTGGAATTTTAAAACTTTGAGACTTCAAGGTTTCGAAAGATTGTCATGTCGAAATTTAGAAATTCTTGTATTTTATAGCTAGTAGTATCATGGAATTTATTACATTGATACTCTGTACTTTGAAATTCGTGATTTTGGATTTTTTGAAGCTTTAGAACCTTGAAAATTTTTGCACTCCATAATGTCATACCCATAAAATATTGGATCTAGAAGATTGTGAAATATTAATTAATAATATTGATACATCACAACACTCAATAAAACAAAGCCATAAATAGCGCCTAACAAAATGAAATTAACTGAAAATTAAAAAAATAAGTATGTGGATCAAAATTGTAATGTTTTTAGATGTTAAGAAACAATGCTCCCTTAGGCTGATTTCAAGGATCGCTGAAAGAAAAACGCGTAATCAATTTTAACGTGAGATCGTTACGCAATTCCAACTGCCGTTTAAGGATGTAATTACGCCGATTCGTAATACAGATAATGCATCTTCCGCGATTGCATAATGTCGTGTCGATGCAACGTGCATCTAAATATACTGTCTAGACGTTGTTCTGCAGGAATCCCCTTCTGTTTTTTGTTATTTCATGTGATCCGATTAACACTTTTTTTACTACTACTGTTTTAATATCTACCTTCTACAATACAGTATTTTTGATTTGATAAATGTAGTTTGGTATACATTTTATATCATTCATAATTTATTTCGTGCAAGTTAGTATTAGTTTAATAATATTTTTAGTTTATGCTATACAAATTAATATTTATTGAATAAAATTTTTAATTTATTGTACTATACAAATTAATATTGATTCAATAAAATTTTTAACTTATTGCACTACACAAATTAATATTGATTCAATAA